CATGTAGGATTTGCAAAAGAAACACAGAACAGCTATCTAAAACTCAGCTGTCCCTCAGTTACAACCAATGTGCAGAAAACAGCAATGTAAGCGACCTACAAAAATACTGCAAAGACAGATAAAAACCCCAGAAGTTTAAATCCTTGTGTTGATTATGCCATATAGGTAAGTGAATTATGAATGCCCACACACTGGGATATGGCAAACGGGTGACAAAAAAGAGCTAAAGGACACAAGCCATACACCCTACCACTGATGTAATGGTATATGGAAACATACAGAACAATCTTCAAATAAGCAGTAAAGACATTTTACAGCAAGAAATTCTGCTTCAGAATACTGAAGCAGATCAAATATCCCTTTTAAAGTAAAGACTGGTGCTACAGAAAATAAATTTAAATTTTATAATAACTGGAAATACTAAGATATTAGTATATTCTGGAAAAAGATTCTGAAGAGTAGTGTCAACAACAATTTAACATTTTAACCAATAACATATCTAGAATATTTGGAGACAGAAAAGTGTTAACTCCTCCTCCTCCTTCTAAATATTTCTAATTAATACAAATATGATAAATATGTCATCTCTGCCTTCTCTACAAAGTGACACTTTGTAGCACAGCATCACTCTTAAGTACACCTTATTGACCATTAAAGGATATTAATTTCTATATTTCTATTCCTGAAAAATACCTCTGATGATGATTTTGAGTAATGTTCAAAAGAAAATGTCTTTTTGAATCATATTAATCATCTGGATATTTGTTGGACATTGTTCTACACCATAACTGTTAGAATGGATCAGCATTCCTTCACTCCTCAGTAGTAATCTTCCTCAAAAAATGACCTGCACCTCCATGCTGTGGCATACTGAGTACAACTGTAACCTCTAAACCTCTGGTTTAAGAGATTAATAATGTAACTTTGGGCTCTGCAGATCCCATGAATAAGGAACATAGAAATATAAAAGGGAGAAGGAAACTAATAATTTCTACTACAATTATATAAGGAGGAAAAGAAAGACCAAATAGTTTAAATAAAACAAAGAGCAGAGATACTTAGCAGGCTACTTAACATTTATTAAAGATTTCTGATTAAGATAAGAAAAATTAATTTAACAACTTGTTTAAAAATATCTGCTAGGCACCTATGAGCTAATATTTTTGGGGTTTATGCCCTTCCAAGTGTCTAATTGTCTTTGAGAGACAAAAGAGAAAAAAACTCACAGTCTAACAAATAAAACTTATTTTTCTATCTAGGGCAGATCAAATTCACTCAAATTCTACGCAGGTAAAGTCAATTTAGGCCACTGACTGTCAAGTGCAGACACTTTGTCAAAGTTAATTGTGGATTAATCAAAAACACACTTCAACCATCAGAACCAAGACAACTGTGAATTTACAAAAACAAATCATTATGAATTGTCTTCAGTGCTCAAGCCATAAATCTGTAAAACATTTCAACTGCCAAACTCAGTATTTAATTTTAATTCTTTAGTATGTTCAGTAAACAAACACAAACCACAACAGGACTAAAAAAGCATACACTGAACTTTATGTACAGAACTCTACAAAACAAATCTCTCCAAAGCCTAATAAACTCAAATTAACTATGACTTGTGAACAGTAAAGATAATTAGTAATCAGGTAAAATTAAAACTGCAAATTAAGGAAGTCTAGGAATCAGACCTCATCAAAACCTGAACTTTGGTTGTAGGGGATATTCAATATGAAGCATTAAGGCAATTCTCTGAGGGCTTACATTTACTCCACAAAGCATGGCGCTGAAACAAAGGTGACACCTTCCAGTATGACTATCAGCCACATGAAAGTCCATCAAACACTCATCACAACAGGATTTTACAGAGCAGGTCAAACACCAAGGAGAATGTATCCTCACCTGAATCAAAATGCAGTTGTTAGAACTTGGTATCATTCTTTCGACTATGATTTTTAATAAGATACACTAGCAACTGTTGTTTTTTCTTTGCAGATTTTTAATATTTCAGAGGCTGTAAGTTTGTAATTTAGATCAAAACATCACTTAAGAAAATGCAACAGACTTCAAGCAAACATAAATATATTGAACTTGTATTCCTTACAATGTATAAGGAATTCCTACATGCATTGATTTCATGAGGCATGGAAACCAGCTATATTTTCAAAGAGTATTCATTTTAGTAAATCATTGTGCCTAAAAATCATTACTACATACCGATGTAACTTTAGCATGTAATAGCTCTGCCTCTTGTCTCTAAACAGGCATTAGAAAAATATAAAATAATTAATTCCCTTCCCTTGTTTTGCTTGGTAACTTAATCACAAAAAAAAAAAAAAAAAAAAGGGAGGAAGACTACAGTAACAGTAGGAACAGTGTACATTGCCATCCATGAATTATCTGGTTCGGTGACATGTCTAAGTTATTATTTCCAGGTAAACCTGAAGAATTTTTTGTCTAAAAATTAGTAATTGCATTCAAACTTCTATGAAAATTGTCTTCAGGACAACTACATAATGTTATATCCCTGAAAAGATCCTAAGAAGTCACATATGAAATACAAAGTTTTGCAATAATACTCCTTTTAAGGCAAGCCAGTAAAAGAAGATATACCAGTATTGCCTATATTACAAAATGTATGAAAAATGTGAAGCAACCTGGCTGTATTGCCATCAGAGATTTTTCAAATCTTGAACTGCAAAATATAATGCACACACAAATGTGGTTTAAACTTATTTAAATGAGTGCAACAAAACTGTAACTTAAGGGGAAGTTAATGAGAAGCAGCTTTAGTTGAATTTCCCTTGGATTGTTACACCCATGTGGCTTGCAGGCAAAGAGCTCTCTGATATGGAAAGATCAGCTGAAGAAGAAGGATGAGTTCCTGCTTCAGGATGCCTGAGACACTGAAATAGGCTAAAACACTATTAAAAAAAATCTTCAAAGTCTTTCAAAAAGTTCTGACAGGCTTGAAAGGGAAATAGAGAACTTTAAAGTGTTTCTTTAAACTTTGTGTTTTACAGAATGAATGACTGTCTGGATTTAATTTTTAAAATACAGTTGCTTTTAACTTTCAAAAGAAAATACACAATTTGCATATCTTGATTAGCAAAACTTTTCATAAAATGTCAGATTCCCTAAACCATCTTTGATTTTTAAGCATAATGTATTCTCAACTCAGAAAGCATCTTTCAAGTCAAAATATTCAAAAGGTAATACCAATATAAAAAGCAGAACAAAGTAGTAGTGACCTAGCTGCACAAAAAAAAAATCTCAGAAACAACCTGGATATACCAAATCAATTTTGACCATTTCAAACAGCTTTGCATCTAATACACCATTTATTCCACAATTGTAATATTATTTAGTTCTATGAGCAATTACAAACAACTTTAACATGGACACAAGGTCACAAACTTTTATATTGGTTAGAAGATAATTGCATCATTAAGCAGTGCTCCTTTCATTAAAACTAATTTTGTTTATGATGAGGGTTAGAAAATTTTCAAATTTTCTTTTCTCTGTTGAGAGGCCACACTACAATAAAGTATCCCTCACTTAATAACAGTTCCAGAAGCTGAAGCTAATCCTAATCCTTCAGGATTGTTGATTGGTAGCCACCAAGACTGTTTAATCAAAACATCAGTTAATTCCACAGAACTGGAATACCGTGCTCTGTGTTACTGCTCTAGCCTGTGTTATTCAAAGGTACTTAAGTTTCAAAGATGTTTCTAAACTACAAATGTAAACACTGTTTTACTCTGTAAGTAAATTCCATCTCATGCATACTGTTACTGAAATGATGGTTCATTTCAAATGAATTACCATAAATAAAGCAGTTCTTTTAAGTTCTTTTACTTCCTGCTTAACAAGTATTTCAACTCATGAGAAAAGTAAGACTGTAGGTCAGTTACCCCTCATTCATTTCACAGTTGGACAAAAAAGTAAATAAATAAAAAACTGCTTTAAAGAAAAAAAAATCTTGTTTTTAAGAAAAAACTCTTTTTTTGTTTGTTTCACAGTGAACACAATGTCTGATGAACAAATGTGACAGTACCAAAGGCTTCTATCTCCATATATCCTCAGAGTAATAAAGCAGCAACAAGGGTTATCACCATCCAACTCCACATTCACACACTTTCCCCTTCCCTTTAATGTGCTTTGATTAGCCTAAAGGAAGCACCTCTAATCATATCAATACTCACAGAGCCTTTGCAGCAAGTAGGAAATGAACCTGAAGACAATGAATCCATTCACACACACAGGACCAGGAACACAAGCAAAAACTCCACAACTGACTGAAGTTCCAAACAGGAATAAAACCCCCTTTCTAGTGCTGCTTAATAAAACCACAGAGATGTTGCATTTCTTCGTTGTTCACAAAATAAATATAATTTGGGCACATCTCCCCTTTCCCAAACGTCACATATAATCAGCAGTAGCACAGTATTTCCATTCAACAGTCTTATTTCAATAAGCCCCACTTCACAAAATTTTCAGCTTCTGACTTGCTAGGGAAAAAAAATGAAAACATTTCCTATGATATACAGGGAAATAATCACATGATGTATCTGATTTTCCTTCTGTCTCACATTGTGACCACCTACACTTTTAAACTCTGACCTGCGACCCTCTTTTTACTGTCTGTACATACTGACAACCACAGTAACTTTATTCCTATGGAAGGTATCTATGGATGCCTTTACTTCTATGGAAGACAACACAACCAAGCACTGAGCTTGGTTGTGATTTTTGGGCTGTGTCAACGGCTGACTGAAATCAAGGCTAGTCTTTTGTTCCCAGTTTGCTCATCAGCTGTTGATGATCAGAGGGAAGTTACGTCACCATGTGTCACAAACAGACCAAATTTTAATGCAGATTTGAAATTGCTTCCCTGTCTTAGCTCTGGAACATGTTGAAAACTGGCATATTTTCTCATGAAACAGTTAAGTAGCTTCACCATAAGAAGACCCTGTTAAATACACACACAGACATATACAAACCCTCACCTTCCCCAGGACTGACTGCAGATGGGAGACTGGTCCAGTCTAGGGTCCAGCTGGGGCATGGGTGAGGAGAAAACTTTGCTTCAATTCCATTTTCCTAAATGAAAGAAGGACAAAAAATAAATTAAAACCTTTTACCCACTTAAGATGGTATCAAAATTCTCACTAAATTTAATGGCATCAGATGAAACTGCAACACTGGTCAGTTTAAGTGAAACTGGACAAGTAGATGACTCAACATTATATATTCAAATTATGTATTTCCCTCATTCTCACAAAAAAGCTCTCCTAATTTTTTTAGGAAGTGCTGTCAGCTTCTGTGCAAAAAATACTGAATTATGGAATATGATGGACAGCTTTCTTAAACAAAACTCATTAGAGTTCCCAGAAGTTCAAAGCTTTAATCAAACAGCAAAACAAAACAAAACAAACAAAAAAAAAAGGTTTGATAATGAAACCAAACATAAAAGAAACAGTTTTTTGTCATTCTTTATATAAATATCTTTAGAAGAGAAATACAATATTGCAATTCGAACAAAAGGTTACTTTGATTATTCAGAATTATTGATAGAGCTCCAACTGTCCTATCTTTTCCCAGTTCCTGAATGAATCAAATATGAGATAAGAAAAAAGTAGAATCACTTCTAAGTCAACGTGTATCAGATTTAAGACAAACAAGAGGTATTAAACTGTTCAATGCTGTCAAAATTAGCTTGTACAATTCTAATGAATTCTATCTACTCCAAATCAAGCAAATATGATTATAAAAATATCTAATTAAAAATCTTAAATTACCATTAACTTAGTCATGGTTGGCCTTGGACCACCTATAAAATGACTGTCTTCATTATCCTCGTCTAACTCATCAGGAACTGAAGTGGAGTCCTGTAGCTGTTCCTCAGGAGCAGACACCAATTCTGGAAGCTGGAGAAGCTCCATGTTGCATTTGCCAGCAGCTTTCTTTACTCCAGGTACTTCTTGAACTCTTCGATACCAACTGGATATCAATGGCAAGTTTACCAGATTTTTGCCTTGTTTCTTGCTGGAAACCTAAAATAATAAAATAAGAAGGTTAGTGGCTACTGTAAATTTCTTACTACAAGCCACCAAACTACAGGAGTAAGCTCAGCTCCACGCTGAGCACAAGCACACACGGCATGATGGCAATACAAAAATCAGCTGGTTCAGAGCTCCAGGTGAAATTGCCAGTCAGACACTTAGACTTTATCTGCAATTCCCATTTGCTCAACAGGATTAAAAGGTTCACATGACCATTTTAATCATAATTTCAGTGAGTAACAGGAAAACTCCATACAAATAATACTCTTGAATATCTACTATTTCCTAACATAGGAATTGTTAATTTTGGTTGGTCGTTAGACAAAAAACCCCAATGCAGTAATTTGCAATGAATACTGAACTCTAAGCATGACATTATGGTACCTGAATGGTCTTTCCCACAAGTACCCCTTAAAAGCTCATTCACCAACAGCTGTTTTGCTGGGAACTACAAGCCTGAAATACCTTAGGCTATGTGGTAACAGGAATACATTAGCCCTGGTCTTTATTCAAGGCTTTGCACTACATCTGTGGCTTTTTTTTTTTAATTAGTATGGATTTTTTTTAAATAACGTATTACTTTCTACAATCTTAATTTCATATTTTTATACAATAATGGTAACTAGTATATTTATTTTCTGAATTAAGTGTATGCGATTATGAGTTAATGTGGCCTCCAACAGAAACTAGCATTTTAAGTGTAAAAATGAAACAAAAACATTTCTTAAGTAAGAATACGCTGCACGTATTTTAAAAAAATATACCCAAATCACTTTTTAAGATGAAGTCCAGTTACTTTTTAAAAGGATGCACCTGATGAAATTAAATAACTTTTGTTTAGATTCCCAAATGTTCTAGAACAATGGAGATCATCCTCTTACAATAGAGGTTGTGAAGTCTCCTTAGAGACACTCAAAATATAACTGGACATGATCCTGGGCAACTGGCCCTAGCTGACCCTCTTCTGAGCAGGCTGCTTAGACAAGATGAGCTCCAGATGTGACTTCCAGCCTCAATTATGGCAACTTCAACTATTCTGTGATGCTGTGCCTGCTTTAAACAGAAAAATAAAAATCATGATTACAAGAACAGGCAGAAAAGGCCACACAAAACAAACATTCTTCACCTGAGCTGTCATAGAAAATGGTAAAGAACACTTGAAATTACACAAAACTTCCAACAGCTCTCCTGCATGCTGTGTTTATAATATGCTTAAGGTAATCAAAAGTAATTAGCAATAGCTAAAGGAACAAAAGGATGAACTGTGTAACTTTAGTATCTAATTCAATAACCTAATAGTAACACGGGCAAAACCAGATTAATTCTGTTAAGGAAGAAATCTTTTGGAGAGCAATTCTAAGAGGCACTGTTAAACTTGTTATGAAGTGCTCTAAATTGTATTTTAAAAAGTGAATAATGTTTTTTCTCAGATGAGGACCTGAGCTTTTGTTATGCTTCTATTAATTTTCAACAGTTACAACTAGTAGAAGGCATAACAAAGGTAACCTCACAATGATAACAACAATGAAATGAGGTAATGAAAAACAACACTTCAGCTTCATTATCTTACTTTTGGTATTTATAATTACAATCAGCTAGTCAGGTCTCCTCATGCTTATAGGATATTTTCCAGACACATACTCACTTAAGACTTCATTATTATTCACACTCTTAATTCAAAGTGGAACTGCAACTACAGTGAATTTTTTTTAAGCACAATCCAGGAAGTCCAGTTATACAAGTGACAAATAACACTTTAATACAGAATTGAACTCTGGGAATTCAATTCTATCAACAAGAGCAGTTTCAACTCACTCCCTGCAAGAAGCTTTCAAATGCAAGTTTTTCAATTTTGATGACAACTATAGGCATCAAGGTATAATTGCTTATTAAATTATCATTCACCAGAGAAGAGAAATAAACAAACATTATCCCAGAGCTCTTGTAAATTAGGTAAAAACAAAACTGAAAGCCAGGTCTTCATGGCAATCCTTGGTGTGAGCTAACACAAGTGCATTGTAAAATACCTAGCTCATGAGCTGCAGAACGCCAGGGCTCAAGGGTAATATATAAAAAGTCAATAAATACAAAATTCTTGGCTGCTCACAGTACATCCATAGAATGATCCAAACTACATTGCTGATATCAATTAAGCATATGATGCAAAAATCTTCTCATGACTAGCACCAGTAAATCAAATATTACTGGACAAAGTTATGCTCTTATTTAAAAATATCTTGGAAAAACAAAGGCTGAAAGACATTTTAAATAGTAAGAAAGCATTTTATCTTAATACTCTTGTTTAGTACCATCCATACAGAAGTTGCTGTTCACATCCAATTTTGTGATTTGCAAAACAAACAACGCAGACGTGAATTAAGAAGCATTTCTGTAAAATAACTCATCATCTCAATTCAAAGGCATTCATATTGCTGCCATCATCATACAGAAATCCACTGAGGATGTTAAAGTTCCAAAGTGGACATTTGTCATATTATTAATATTTGATAGTCATTATCTTGATTTTCAAGATTGTTATCCTCAGTCTAACAGCATCTTCTCCAGGAATTCCATTTGTTTTCAAACACCATAAGAAAAATTTGGTAAACCAGCATGCAAAATCAAAATGCAAATGTTCTTGGAATAGACACCAGCTTAGCTATAAATCTCATACAGTAACTGCAGGAATAGAACTGTAGGAGGCAAACTCACTGAATCATTTTACTGTGATAGGAAATCAAGACAGAGCTGTAATTTCCTTAAATCTCTCCTATTCCTCTATCCTCATAAAACTAAGTACACAGATTGTGCTGAGCAAGATTCTTGCACAGTCTTACCACAGAAGTTTTTCCCACCGTAGAACTAGTTTTTAAGTTGAGTTCAAGTCATCTATACTAGTATTGTTAAATTATTCTCTGGGCAAACTCGTGCCAAAATATTTCATATAATATTTTAACAGTTAACAGTGTTTACTAACCATTGTTATGCTCTGTATCTAGAAGTAAATTTAGTGACCTCACCAATCCCTGTTTTCTGTGTTTGTGTAAAAACAAGACAAATCTTTGATTTCAGGATAAGGTCACACTGTAAACACCACGGTATGTTTCAAATTAGCATGTTTTACAACTTTTAGGTTCGTGAAAAACACACACGCACACTAATTTATATTTGCAGAATTTGTCAGCTTACCAAGAACTGATGGATGCATGGCAAAAGCACTAGATCTGCCACAGTAAAATAAAGCCCTTCTGCAAAAACATGGTCCAAGAGCGGAAGGTCAGAGGTTTTTGTTCTCCTGATGTGAGGGGCCTCCCTGTTGATTGCCTCTGGTGCTTCCTGGGCAAGTAGTTTGGAGAAAGCTACATTCAGTTCCAAACTTGAGGGTGGATGTTCATGGACTTCTGCTTTTAATTCCTCTGATGCTTCTTCACCAAGCACAGGCACTGCAGCCTTGGCACCTGCCTTCTGTTGTTGAAGTTTCTGCCTTCGAATTTTGTCATCGTTATGTACTCGGACAGGTTCTCCAAGCTTCCTTTCCAACAGTAAAATGTCAGGAGGAATAGCCTGGCAGTGCTCAGGAGAGGCTGTCAAAAATCTTTCAACAGCCAGAGGTATGCTGATCTCACAGAGCCTGGTCCATTGGCTAACCTGTCAAATAAATTTACATAATTAATGTCTCTACAGAAAGAGAAACAAAACCAGGTTAACTTTTGGTTATTCAATCACTTCAAGCAAAGGAATTCCAGCTTTAAATATATTATTTGTTAATCTCAGAAACGCAGATATTTCTGTATTGCTTTTACAACAGCAGAGTTCAGAAGCTAAATCCTATATATAATAGAATGGTTATCCAGTACAGCATATTTTTATTTCTTTATTATTGACATAAAATTAGGGTGCCTCTGTAACTCATAAGAAGCAAAGCTGTGAACTGAGTTGAAGGCACGGTGATCAATGGCAACTATGGAAACAGCAATCATGCCAGGGTGGAATTCTGCCTCCTGAGAGGCATGAGGGAGGCAGGTCTAGATGGATGAGCTGCCAGATGAGTAAACTGCTGTGTGATAAAAGGACTGAGATGTCAACCCAAAAGGTAGTGTTGCTTAACAGTTCACACTCTACCTGAAGGCCAGTTAGGAGTGGAAATCTTTAAGGGTCTATGCTGAGGCCTATCCCATTTCATCATGTTTACCTGGAGGGGGGAGATGGAATACACTCCCATCAAGGATGACATGGAATTGAGAAGAGCAGACAACAAATTCCCAAGAAACTCCAAGGTAGAGCAGCTATTCACATGCGCCCTTACAGACTAGAGAATGAGCTGAGAGAAACTGATGTGAAATTCAGAATATTCCACACCTAGGAGGGACTTATCCCCTGGAATGGCACAGGCTAGGGACTGACCACCTGGCCAGTTAGCCACTCTGCTGAAAAGACACTGGGAAACCTGGTGAGGATAAGCTAAACAAAAGCCACCTTGACAATGAAGGCAAACAAGATATAGTGTTCTTGAAATCAAAATCAGAGAGAAATTAGGTGTTTCTTAGTTTACTTCAAATTTTATAACTCATACTGCTAGACATGAAGCAAAGATCTGACCTGCTTTTTAACATTAAGGTTCTCTTTGTGCTGCTAAAAGCTAGCATCTTCAAAAATAATTATTTTTCATCTTTGTGCCAAAATACAGGTACTTCTCCATAGAGAAAATTGCATTTTCTAAGCAAATTAAGTTTTTTTTCTAAAAGAACTTACTTGACATCAATATTAAGAATCTACTTCAGAGCATTTAATGCTTATTAAAAAACCAATCAATGTATCTAAGAGAGAGACACACTCACTTCAGCACAGGCTTTTAAGCAGGTCTTCTTAAAGCCCAAGAGTTCCAAAACATCCTTTTTAGATGGATCTGCCTCAAATGTTTTCTGTATTATATGTCTTAAGACCACAGAAAGCCCAGCTCTGCAGAATTTGTCATCTTTCACGACAACAGCAGGCAAAGTGCAGCTCTGCACAACCACTGGAAGCTGACATCTGGAGATTAAGTGGACCTCAAGATCACCAGCGAGGCTTTTTGTCACACACTGATCACCCACATCTTCGCCAGTTGGCACTAAAAAAACTTTAAATAATTTGCAGTCACAATAGGATAGCAAAAACAGTGAGATAGATGTATGAAGAGGAAAGATACTATCTCTGTACTGATGAGAAAAAGCCAAATATAAATGTTCTTCAGCGACATTATCTTTCATCTTCTTCCTGAGATGAAGTTCCTGAAATAGAAATCAGAGTACGACATCCATAAAAGAATACAGAATAGAAAAAAGAAAAGAAAAAAAAAAATTAGAGCACTGGTTCTTCCACTATCTGCTACAACTGATTTTAACATAAGACACTACTAAAGACATCCTGCATCAATAATTGGCAGGCCCTTTGTTAAGGGAAAAGAATGCTTTCACATCTACACTGTCTCTTCACATATAAGATCAGGAATAGGAAAATTACCTCTGTAAATTTTTTTTACACTTTAGCGTATTTCTGACACCAACCAAAACCTAAAAAAAATGTTTCATTTTCAATTTTTAAGTGCATAAACATTTTAAAGCAAGTTGGGTTTTTTACATTAAAATCTTCCACAATATTAACCATGCATTATTTAAAAAAAAAACATTTCCTGAGCACATATCTACAACAGTCAGTTCTCTAATACAAACATCTGTCTTTTTGTAACTGCTAAATGGCATTTAGAGTAGGTATTTAGGCCTATTTAGGGAAATAATATTGGTTTTTGTATTAAAAATTAATCCAGAGCTGGGTGAGATAATAACATAAGCAAATAAACATTCATCTCATGATACTACATGAACACCTTAAACACACAACTACTTTAACGCAGTCAAATTCAACAATAGCAAAGCTGAAATTAGTATCTTCTCAGTATATTAAAAACTCACATTAATTTTCCTTACAGTGGGTTGCAAGCTACATTTTTCCTACTACAGTATTCCACGGGAGTTTAACACAAGGCGCTGAAGCAGTAATTTTTCTGCTCCATCGCTCAGCAGGACTGCCCATTACCTGGGATGACAGGTGGCACCGGAAAGCCTCAGACACTGGATGGCACAAGTGACACGGGCACAGCAACAGCGCAGCGAGGAAGAGAAACCCCAACGCTGCTGAGAAACGCCAGAATAGGGTTTTATACACATACATATAAAGCATGAATAGCACTAGAACAGCACTGTCTAGATTAATGAGGTCTTTGACAATTACACGCATGATACAAGTATTTTTTAAAAAAGTTTTAATTTCATACATCTTGATTATTCAATTTATTTTTTTTCCATGTAGACATGCACATCACACTTACTATTTCATATTACCTACCAGAGGGCCAAAACAATTGCCCAAAAGGGGGGAGTGGAAGAATAAAATCAAGTCTACCTGACATTAAGAATACTGATGTCTGTTATAGTGAAACATTTTTAAACCACTAAATGACAAGAAAAGTGTCTCTGCTACGAGTACTGCTGCTTTTCTTTAATTAATACACTGCCACACAAAGAACAGGACAGTACACAATGCCATACCTACTTTACCACAAGATATTTTATTTGGATAAATCTTGACAACATGGAATCTGAGACAGAGCCTATATCCTAAGTACACCTCTGTGGCAGAAATCATCCAGTGAAGGCACAGCCAGAGAGGTAAATCAGGGAGAGTTATTGCTACCGTAGTCATACCCATAGCTTCTAGTATTTAAACTCCTATCCTCAACTACAGTACCTCTTGCAATATTAAAAAGTACTCTTGTATGCATTTTGGTTAATATTTTTGTTCTCCATGTGAACGCAAAGAACTCACAAGTCCATCTTTTGCTCAGCACGCAAACCACTCAGATAAACACATTCACCTGATCACTCAATTTTTTTATTCTAGTTGATGTTCCTGGACTCAATCAGCTATTTTGGTCATTCTCATGCTATGCAAAACTACTAAATATTTTGGTAAACTCTGACAAGGTTTCTATTTCCAAAGTATATTATTCTATAGTTCCCATCTATTAATCACCTGTTGTTAAAATTTATTTTTAAAAACTTCTTACAAGTAATTTTAACAAACTGGGCTTCCATAATGACTGCAACTTGATATACAGGTCATTAGAATATCAACACATTCAGTCTGGATTTATTTGAATTGTTAGTTATTGCAAAAATGTCTATGTTTCTCCACCAAACTGAACAGACTTCTTTCTTAGAGAGCCTTGCAAGGTTAAAGTTTCCCGTGTTCCTGTTACACGTGAAAAAGCAAAAGCACAAAGAGAATTTATAGCTCAGTGTCACACTGGAAGTCTGTCCTAGTGCAAGCCAAAAATTTGGACATTTTTCCTTAAAGGCTTTGTTGTTTGGTTGGCTGTGAGATTTTGGGGGTTTTTAAGGTCAGTCTGCGACAATGAAAATTACAGTCAGGCTAATTGTATTCTCAAATCTCTCAGAGAAGAGAAGCTAAAATAATGTGTCCAGGAGTTCTGTCTATAAGTGACTTTACCTCTGTTTCCTCATTGTTTCCTGTAAGAAGAAAGGCCTTCTTGAATCATCACTTCAACTGAGCTGCATACCCTTATACTGCCACACCCAACCCCTCTCCCATATTTTTGGATAATTCCTCTCAACATTTTGTCTCTAAGCACTGACGTTATAAGGTCACCTCCTATATTTTTTGTTTCGAATACTGGTGCTCTTCCACACTGTTTGGTTCCGCAGAATCTATATTCCTTGTGGACTTATGCACATATTTTCAATTCAAAAACTTAACAGCCTAAATGGTTGCCCATTCTCACTTAAATCTTTTCACAAAACTACTACCTATCCATTAAATGTGTTTATTAATCCCTTGGCAACTTACTGAGAGAAAAGCAGACGTAGACATACACAATCAAATGAAATGTGCAATACAGAACTAACCAAACCTAGTAAGACATTGTACTGTTTGCTCACAGTATTTTTTCCCAGCACTTTTTTCTCTAATTAGACTGTAAATTCTGTGGGAAGAGATGGATTTTTATTCTATTGGCCGTATTTACAGTAGACACTGTTTGAAAGAGAGAAAATGAAAAGCAATGTTCAATGTTACAATTTGCACTGCAACTTAAATGACAAAGATAAATAACATTGCCTACCTTTGGTATAAAAGACACCTACTTTAAAATTATAAATAATATGTAAATGTAAGTTTCACTAGCTGCGCTGTTTTTACCATTTTCTCCTCCCTTTCAACATGCTCTAAACCACAGTTAAATTAGGTCCACTCAGTTGCCCTGTTAACAACGTAATAAAGAAAAACACTGCTTTAAAAACAAGTGTTTCCCATAAAAATTAAAGACAAATAAATACATAAACATCCTCTTCCTTTTGAAAGGAAAAAGATCAAAAAGATCCTATTCATTTGTTGGTTACTACACAGTAAAACGGAACTTCTGTAAAGCAGGCGCCTTAGCATTTGAGAAACGCTTAATATAATGCCACTTAAAAACGCGGCAAACATTTAACTTGGTGCGAAGCATTATTTGTGCTTTAAGGCACGTCACTTGAGAGCCTGGAGCTGTATTTCTATCCAAGACGACCCATTTACTGCACGCGTTCGGGGCCAGCCCTGCTCAGAAGGGGGAAACAGAACAGCTTCGGACCCGAGCTGCAGGCGGGTCTGCGAAGGAAGAGAAAGCTGTGGTCGGTTCTGGAGAGCCAAATGCGGGCGGGACTCGGGGACAGGGCCGGGACACGGGGACAGAGCCGGGACGCGGGGACAGAGCCGGGACGCGGGGACAGAGCCGGGACGCGGGGGACAGAGCCGGGACACGGGGGACAGAGCCGGGACGCTGGGACAGAGCCGGGATGCGGGGGACAGAGCCGGGATGCGGGGACAGAGCCGGGACGCGGGGACAGAGCCGGGACACGGGGACAGAGCCGGGATGCGGGGGTCAGAGCCGGGACACGGGGAACAGAGCCGGGACTCGGGGGACAGAGCCGGGA